CGCACGCACGCACGCACACACGCACACACGCACACACGCGCACACGCGCACACACACACACACACACACACTTATGTACATAAATATGTATATATATATATTTAAAAAATATAGACGTATATACTAGTTTCGTTTGTATAATTATGATGTAATGTAAATTGCTACTGTGTATAGTAACATCATCCACACTACACGTTCCCGTACGGAATTTGAGACATAGGTAGGGGAACGGAGAGAGTTCTCAATTCTCGAGCAAGAAGGATAGAAATTCATGTTGCTAGTTAGGCAGCCAATGAGACGCCTTGCAAACTAGACAATATACGTATCTAGAACATCGCTGACCAGCGCTTTGTCCTTTTGTTGGAACCGAGATGAAAGACAGAAGCAGAGAGAAGTTAAAGGGAGAGAACTAACCAAAGAGAATGTGAAGAGTGTGAATTTTGGAGGGGTTGGCAAGAATGAGACGAGGAGTTTCCCGTTGATGCTACCAGCGCGGTCGGCGAGACGCCTTCGCAAGATCCTGATTGTATTCTACACTACTACTATTACTATTGCTCTCTCTCTCTCTTTCTCTCTCTCTCGTCGCTGTATCAGAAACGACGAAGATACGCGCAGAATGCCAAACGGAGACGGAGCGCGAGTAAGTGGATCGAGAGAGTGGAGTTTGCGGGGTTTGATGCGTGGGAGGAGGGAGCTGAGAGGGGAGGCGAGACAGAGTTCACGTCGACAGAGCTACCGCCGCGACATAGTGCCCCCGATTGCGATATATATCCGCCCTCTCTCCATCCAACCCTATGCTTCTGCCACCCACACGTTTCGATCCTCCCCTCCCGCTTATCCTCTTCCCTCCCTACGGACCCAACCCCTTGTGTCGACTTCCTATCTACCACCCATTTCACTTCAACCATCCCTCTACACGACCTCTCTCTCTCTCTCTCTCTGCCGCTTTCCATCTACGAGGTCTCAACCCCTCTTCTCACCACCACTCTTCGCCACCATTGCGCTTTTGCCACCGTTCCGCAATGCTTTCGGACTCCGTGTTGGTGTTGAGAGGGAGTGAAAGGGGGAAGTCGGGCGCGAGAGTAGCTGGTGGGCGACTCTCGGCATCGCTTCTTCTACGAAGAAGCATGTATATGGCACTACTGCAAGAGGGGCGCTTCTTTGCGTCGCTTTTCTTCCTTCTTTTTTTTTCTTTCAAGGGTTGGAGGGTTGGCATTCGTCGGATACGCGAATTCGGAATCTCCCCGCCGACAATTCACGGCACCTAGATCGACGTCCGCGCTTGCGCCTGCTTACATCGATATGCACGGCTATCGATATATCGAGTGCTGTGAAACTTCTATTTTATCCTTCTGCGAGTCTTTTTCACTGTATCTCTGTTAAGAATAAAAGAAAAGTCTTACGTAACTTTTTTGTTTGAATGTATAATACACATGTTGCATCATAATTATTCCGGTGTGACAAAATTTTATGTCTCCCTTTACATAAAATTTTACAAATATCGTAATAAAAAGTATAATGTATTAATTTTACATTAAGTACTTTTATAGCTATTGCTTCTTAAAATAGGAGCATATAATATCAATTTATGAATTTTCTTCTCGATGATTTAATAGAAAGACTAAAGTTTTCGTTGCTGAATAAATCTTTCCACTAGTACGTCCTATATGTCGCCATATCTCTGGATGGTTAATACGCATGATTAATTCCATCTTCGATTCTTCATAGTGCGATGCTCATTTGGTAAGCACACAATAGCGCACAGTGAGATGATAAAGGGGCTACGATGGGAATTTTCATAATCAGAGATCGTTCTCGAGGCCCAGTAACGATGTGGAAAAGGATGATCCTCTGCAATGATCCTCCTTTATTTCGGGCACGTGCGTACGCCGTGTGTGCCGATAAAGCGGTAGCAATTGTGGCGGGTTTCACGAGGCATTCCCACCTGCCGTCGTACTACCGTCGCACAGGCATAAGCACGCTGCCGCTGGCGTCCACGTGCCCACAGGACTCTCCTCTTGGGAAGGTGCACCGCGAGCAGAAGTCGAGCACACTTTCGAAGTAAAGCAGCTTGTTGGGAGCACCTGTACGCGCGAGCCGCGCGCGCAAGATATCTCGTCGCCGATCATCGTCATCGTATGTAACGACGGTTGTTGAGAGGCGCGTCATGTCGCGTGTCTTCCCTTTCTCACGCATTTCTTCCGACTAATCAACTTCGCCACGAGCTTTATCTAACCGGAACGAGGACGGAGACGCCGTCGGCGCTTCGTGATAACGACGAACAGAAGGTGTGTTCTGCCTTGTAGCCGTACGATTATCAATCAACATCATAAAGTGTATTAGGAAATGTATTAAAACAATCAAAGCATTCATTTTGATCACTTTGGGTACTTTTTGATCGGTTGATAAATTTTTTAAAAATTTTTGTTTCGTATTCTAGAACTAATTCTAATTAATTAAGGGTAAAATATATTTTAGATGAATTTTCTTTCAGAAACAATAAATAACGCTCGACTTTCGCTCTTGTTCGTGTCTATATTTAGTCGTGTCCATTACTGAAACATACGTCGTAATAAATTATGAAATCTTATACCAAAATGATCGAATGAAATCGTATCATAGCTATTGAGGGGAGATCGCCTTGCCTGCTTCCAAAGTCTATCCTTTCCTTTGGCGGTAGAAATGAAGAGAATCGTAAAGCACGGGTAGAAGTCGTAAGACGGAGATGGAAGGAGTAAAGATGAGGGTGAAGCTCTAGAGAGTAAGTGAGCGAGCAAGAGAGAGACATTGCGGAATAAGTGACTGAGGAACAAGGAAGGAGGCAGAGGGAAGAAGAGAGTATATATGTGTTTGCGTGTAAGAGCAAGAGAGTTAGAGAAAGAGAGAGAAGAGAGGGACAGAGCGAGGGAGAGAGAGAGAGAGAGAGAGAGAGGTGAGGTCCGCCGCAAAATACAAGTTGGTAGGATATCGACCAGCCGGAAGTCTGAGTAGTTGTTGCCATGGAGACGCTCAAGTCAATTTGACCTGGGCCAACAGTCACCGGCATACTGATGCACGATATGCCATCCCATTATTCATATGGTTTTTACACGGTAAAACATATTTCGCGGCGCGATTCCCCAATGGCGTATACCGTTTCGCGAAAGTCTGGAAACCTCCCTGTAGTGGAGCACTCGGGATCACTACAAGAATGAAAAGAATTCCTCCATCTTGAATTTATCTTTTGAAAAAATCACGTTCTTCCGGTTAAAATAATACGTTTTCAAAACAGAAATTTAACGTTTAAATATTCCTGAAAATTCATTGATCGTAGCCGAAATAATCGATATGCCAAGAGAATAAGATCTTCTCGAATTAAAAAAATAACATTACAAGATTATATTTTATTCTCTTCTTTATTACTTTAGAAGTATACCGTTCACAAGATTCAATTATTAGCCGCAAATCGTTGGTTCCTAAAATTATTTGGAAAAGTACTTCTCAGAACTTCAAACTTCAAACAAACAAGCCAAGTTCGTTTTGAGCATATCGCATACCACGCAATGCATGCAGACGATGTTGAAAGAAGCGAGGGAGGATGACCGATCGAGCAGACTCCTCGGATTCGGCGGAGGGTCGAAGCTACTGTCCGGAAATAGTCTTATACCTCGATGGTAAGTGTGCTCCAAAAATAGCGAGATTCCGCGGTCTCAATTTCTCGTTTTTGAGCGTCTGGCTTCGCGAGAGCAAGGTTGGCACGTCCTCCGAAGGATTCAATGAAAAATGTTGTTGCACGCCTCTCTAAACGTGGGTAGGCAACTTCAATTCAATATTACGGCATTTTCTTCCAATCGCGCAAACGTGATTAAACTGACAAAAAGAAGGAAACGCAGGATCAAAATTCTGATCGAAAGAATTGAATAAGTAGATAACTCGATTTCGTTGGAAAACTTTCTCAGAATTCACGGGATTGCAAGCACCTGCCGGCCAGTAATTAAAGGTTCACTACAGGCTATTCAAAATGGCATGCGTGGAGCCAAACTTAATCGACGATTTGATGATTTAATGTCCTACGTGGGACATGTCGATCGATTTCAATTTATTCTTTGTTCATCCGCCCACATTATCTTACATTTTCCTGACGCTTTAATTTTCCGTTTTAACATAACATCGAAGTTGACAACTTTAAATATTATTAATACAGCGTGATCATTATAAGGTACCGATGTCGAGAACGTTAGAGCGAAAGCAACATGTACCGATTTGTGAACATATTTTTGACGAAAGACATAAATACATGCATCAAGAAAGTTGTAATAATTCAATTTGCACTTTCTCAAACAGGAATTATCTCTACTGTGGAATTATTATATTATGAGACCTTTGATATATTTGGAGCATGTTTCTCTTATAGCCCTTTGTAGTTAAAGAGAAATATATTTTGAGAGGCAGGTCTAAGGCACTCGTGCAAAGTAAGCAAAATAGGTATTCATGGATAATTTAAGGTATTAGAAATATAAAAGAAATTATAGAAAAATATTCGAGTTTATCTTTTTACAGCGTTTCTTTTATGTTCAAATATTCTCCAGATATATTAGACTTCTACTAATTCATAAATCAAAGTCAGTAAAAAATAAGTAATATATATCAAAGATTAATTCTCAATTAATAAATAAAGTATCAATTAAATAATTTAATTTATAATAAATAATAGAACTTTTCTATTTGAAAATTCGTAAATTTAATGATTTCTCTAAATTACACGCTTAAAATATCATATTATATTTTAGTATATGTTAAATGCTAATTAATGCATGCTCTTAATTAGCATCAAAATTATTATTCTAATTAAAATTGATAAGAAAAATTGAGATATATGTGTATATAACGTTCACACAATTTGGATACGGTTAGTCCGTACGATAATTTCGCTTGGTTAAATTAACCCTACGTTAATACGGCATAGGTCACCCCTCGAGCACTTCTCCTTCTCGCATGAACTATTCGATAATACGAATGTATAGCTGACACGCGTGACGCGGGTATTGCGTATATGCGTGCATACGCGCGTGCGCGCGCATCTATATAATCAGCGTAGTGGTGAAGTGAATATGGTGTACCTACTACGAAATCTAGCTACCGATGATGTAGACTTGATCTACATGTATGTACATATACATATGTGCCTGTATAATACATGTATATCGGCGGCAACGCTTATGCATTTACACGGCATTCTCGTCTTCGGTTATATTTATATATATGACTAGAATG